TGTCAATAATTCCAACAGAATATCAGTGAGTATTGTATCTCTTGGGCCCAGTCTGGTCACATGGTGGGGCATCCATTCCTTTGTCCCCGCCTGGAATTGAGCATTTGATTGGGAACAACCCTATCTAAAGCTGAACAATGACTGAAACAGTCGTTGGTAACTTTGCCTCTTTGAATCATTTTAATATTATTGAGAGAAAGTCTCACTGTGTAAACAAGGCTGGCCTTGAATTAGAGATCCTTCTGCCTTAAACAAGGCTGGCCTTGAATTAGATATCCTTCTGCCTTAGCCTCCAGAGTGCTGGATTACAGGCACACATATAATTTTAAATTTTAAATGAAGACACGATTACTGACTTATTGCTACAACTTATTTCATGAGGCAACCCACGGTGCAAGATCTGCACTGGAGACATGAGTGGAAGTGAGAGGTAAAGGAGCCGTTATTTGTTTACATCTTCTGCTTAATAAAAAGTTTGCAAAGTCTGAAACAGGGTCCCTGGGCTAATTCCAGCTTCACAAATCATTATAACTTATTGTTTAAATTAGTCATACTTCCTCAACATAACACAATCAAAATTACTCCTCTCAAGAATGGTTCTACCTCAAGTTGGATGTATAAACAGAATTTATTTTCCCCAGTATAGGCATTGTTCTATATGAGGCTATAACGTACAGGTGTTGTGTTATAAATTAATGATATTAATTTCACATGCAGTTTATGAAATGGAAGATGTATGCATATTTCAATATAAATTATAGAGTGTGGTGGAGTAGTAGATGTTGGAGGTAGAGCTAACTTCATCTTTGCAAGCACTGCACGCCACATTAATGTGCAATTAGTTAATCTTTATATAAAGTTTCCTTACTTGCTATTTACATTGTATCTATGAACTTCGATTTATTTGCATCCCAGAAAGCCTGTGCCAGCATGGTGGTGACTCACTAGTCTCTGGAGCCCCCTGCACCAGTACTAATTTTACTATCTTGTAAAGGACCACAGGAGCTGGGCATGCTGTCTTAGACCTCTAATTCCAGCTACTTTGGAGGCTGAGGTAGGAAGATTGCAAGTTCAAGGCCTGCCTGAGTGCTACAGTGAGTTCAAGGACAGTCCAGGTAATTGAGTATGACCCTGTCTTGATATTACTTGAAATATTTTGAATGTAAAAGGAGATCTGAGGATAGAGCTCAGTGGTACAGTGCTTGTCTAGCATGCTGAAGGCCCAAAATTGACATACTGAACATACTGAAGTACAGAGAGAGAGAGAGAGAGAGAGAGAGAGAGAGAGAGAGAGAGAGAGAGAACAGGGATTTTTGTTAGTATTTGACTGCATTATTATTTCATGGTAGCATCTATGAAATAGTAAAAATATTGTGCCATTGTTAAAATTGTGGGAAAATCAAAAGTTCTGACTTCTAATGAACTAATACTGTGCAGTATTAAAATGCATTGATGGACAGGTAGAGTTATGTAGGTGTATATGAACAGTAGTTCGATCAACACTAAACATTCTGTACAGAGACATAAAAGCCAGGATTCGCCATGACTCTCAGAGCAGTTCTCCTGACTGTGCAAAGATGCTATCTATGTTTGGAAGTAAAACTTTTCCCCTTTCTGTAACAAAAAGAGGTTGGATATCCTTCTGAAGGGAGAATTATCTCCTCATTGCAAACTGGATCAACTCTTTGGCTCCAATTGGTCTTAAAACTCCTAATTATGTGTTTTCTTTACCGTGACAATTAACATCAGATTGTCTGTCTAACGTTGTAATAACAGTATTCTCTCTCTCAGAAAATTGCCTTTTCTTTCACATACAAGCAATATCTCATTTATCAAGGTTATAATAAATTATATTGTAAAGGGTAACATTATCCATGTCTGCCAAAGATAAACTAAATTAAATGGACAAACAGATTAGATATAAAGAAGGATATTAAAAGATTATGGGATGGCTTCCCTCGAGATCTTTAAAAACAGGGCAGATACTCATCTGCCTACAATAGTTTAGGTAAAGTATGCCTGAAGCCAGCAGGATAAAGCAGAGAGATAACTTCCAGAATTCTTCCCCAGACATGTTTTCTCCTAAGAGTTCACTCTTTGCCCTCTGCAACTGTACCCGCATCCTCTCACCTTTCTCATGAAGCTTCTGGCTAGTACGAGTTTTTGGTTTTGTTTTCTTTCTTTCTTTCTTTCTTTCTTTCTTTCTTTCTTTCTTTCTTTCTTTCTTTCTTTCTTTCTTTCTTTCTTTCTTTCTTTCTTTCCTCCCTCCCTCCCTCCCTCCCTCCCTCCCTCCCTC